AGAAGTGAAATATTTCCATGACAAAGAACAACTAAAGAATTTCATGATGACAAAGCCAAGCCTACACAGACTACTAAATGATGTTCTAGAGAGGGGGCAAATTGATCACAGCCTCATGAATGAGAATGGAAAGAGCCTGCCAGATAGGGCAAACAAACACAGGAGAATAAGGAGTATGCAGTAGTAGTCTTTCAGTTATTCTTTTGTATTGAGCAGCAGAATATTTCCATTAGCACATTCTATAAATGGACTTCTCTTCCACCCTATGGATCATGATTCCACCTGAGTTACAGGGTAGATTGAAAAGAAATAGCTGTAGCTCAGTTCCACAAGTGACGCCTAGCCACCAGTAACTTTCACGGTCATTATGCATGTCCACAACACACTAGAACTTTCTGCGATATCCTATCCTCAAACTGTTAGAAGTGCTGGTCATTTACTTGCCATTCCAGTATTTATCTTATGTTTTACTCTTAGTACTTCTTTACTATCATGAAAACTTTTTCTTAGTTCAATTGTTTTGAATCATTTAATTTTCTGAATATTGCTTAATCTTAAAAAAATAAAATAAATAAAATAAAGTGAATGATAAAATGTAAGATACACTTGAAAATTAGAATCAAGGTTTGTTGCAAAGACTGAGATATGGTGTACACAGAAGGGAGACCAAAAAGGATGTAATTGGTGAAGTCCCTTCATTGGATGATAAAGGGCTCATTAAAATAGCAGAAGGTGGAATGCAGGAGAAGCTCAGAAGGCTGCCATAATATTACCCTTGTGTTGGTTTTTAAAGTTATGCCACAGACCCAGTCATAGCCCAGGTCCGGTGAGTGTGTGGGAGAGCTTCCTGCTACCCTGTGCCAGCGGGACCAGTCCCAGCCAAGGGGCAAGGTGGGCAGGACCCTCTCCCACCCCCTAAGGCCAACCCCCAACACTCCGCAGCACCTACCCAACACCACGCGTCGAGTAGGAATTTCTACCCGGCTGGGAACCCCCAGAGCCAGTCCTAGCCCAGGTCCAGTGAGTGTGAGGGTAAGCTTCCTGTGCCCTCTACTTCACCTTGCCCCCTCCAGGCACAGCTCAGGCCTGGCATAAATGCCTGGGGTGTAAACTTGAAACTGCAATCCCTGCAGAGAATGTACAGGATAGATTCACCCAGCTAGTCCAGGAGCAGAACATCTTGCCACAGGGGCACAACAGGTTCACCCTCAAGGGCAGCAGCGGGAAGGAGCTGAGCATAGCAGCCAGACCCAAGCCAGACGCAGCTGGATAAGTCCAAACTTTGTAGAGTTGTACCT